ACCAAAACTGGGCAGCTGAAGATGAAAAATACACCTAAAATTAATAAAGTGATTGTTTGCAAAAGCTTTAATTTGCAGTTTCAACCTGCCTTATATCAGCAGTCCATGTTTGTGGTTGTGTGCGATGGTGTGGGAAATGTTTTCTTCACTCACTTTAGGCCCCTAAAACCAGTCAATGAATATGTAAATGCTTATCTCGGTATCACTGCTGAATATGTGTCTTAATAGCCCCCTGTTTTCCATCTTCTAATGGCTACTCCTGTCGTGTTATTACACTATATCACAATCCAAAAGTTGTGTTAATATAGTTTTGTCAATATAACATTGGAGACAGTAGCCTATTAGGCATGTGCTCTGAAGATCCAGATTCAGAATCTTGGATGTTGTAGAATTGAGACATTTTTAGGATGAATGTGTATCTAACACATCGGCAGAAGTGACATAATGCAATAATTTTAACATGGTACTCAGGAACATTTCCAGCATCCAGCGTTGAGAGCTAAAGGAGAAAGAGGGGTTGGTAAGTACTCAGTAAGTGTAGTAATTGCACGTTATCATCTGCCACCTACTTTGCAAGGCATTTAGAGTTTTTTGTATCAAAGGTCTAAATAAGACTATGAATTACAGCACCCAGTTTCAAATAAATCAGTCACTCTATCAAGTATACATCCATGCATCTTCTTCTCCTTTTATGTCAATATTTCACTAGCTTGAGCACTTCAAAAGTGAGGATTTTCTGATTGCTCAATTTCAAATTTACATTGTTGTTCATCGATTCGGTTTGAAAACCACAAGTGTGAAAAGGTAACTTGTGATGACAGTTTTTTAAAAATATTTTATGACATTAGATTGGGTAAACTTTTATAGCCAACTATTTGTAAAGAATTATTTTTGCCAATGTAATGCGGTGCCTCTTTCATTTTTATTCTGTTCTTCTGCTAGAGCTGAAAAAGAGTTGTACACCGATGGAAATACGTAATCTGTAGAACTGGTAGTGCCACATAGACCTGGCGTTGTATGGTAACAAACCAGTTGAGATATGGGAAGTCTTTTCTGAGCTAATAAGCTTGCAGCTCAGGCAGTTATGTGTTTCTACTTTTTCTCTAACAGATTCACACACTGATTAAACACGTTTAGTAGAATTTGTCATTCATTTGATCATTTACAGGATGCATGGCAATCTGTTAGCTTCCATTAGCAAGAAACAAAAATAAACTCTAGTGGATGATTCTGTATCTTCCTCTATGAGTGTTACAGTGCACACTTCTACCAAAATGTATGCGGGGCTGACGGACACCGGTTGAAATTAGTTTTTCACATATTGCTGAATTCTAATTGAAAGTGAGGTGGTGAGCTTTGCAGCGGGTTTAATGGAATCAACTGCTTGACACTGTACCAATGCCAGCTCCTTCAGTGTAAACCAAATTGGAAGTCAAGGGGAAAACAGTTTCACCATCACTATCACTGAATCATGTGTTTTCTCGCAAAAAATCCAGATTATAACAGCTGGAGAGTGATAGCTGTGAAAAGGTAGCTGCAAATAAAAATGCATTCTCAAAGCTATCAATAGAAAGGATAAGGTTAGTATTTCATTTCCATGAATATTTCATTGAGCTTTTTCACTCCATCTCATATACTCTACTGTCTGATATTCACTGCAGTTTTATTATTTAGTCTCTGCGTGCCTGTAGATGTCCACAGATATGCTGTATGCATGTTTTTGTACATATTCAAATGTGTGAATATCTTCGCCTATGCAAGATCCTCCTTGTCACAGAATGTGTGATGTGTCTGTGAAGAGGACCCTCTCTGGCCTTAGCCCATCAGATGAAGCAGATGCAGATTTGCCAGACAGGGGCTGTCTTATAACAAGTGTAAAATTTGCATGCCAAACATCAGCAGGCAATCATGCATTACAGGGAGGGAGCAATATGGGCCAGAGAAACCTACCGCATTCACTTTTATCTCTGTCTTGCAGCATGCATTGTGCAGGACACAATTTGGTGCCACTGTGATTTGTCCCAGAACGAAACTGCTCTCACCTGATCTATGGAAACTGCCCTTTTAACAAAGCCCGAGGAGCTCCTGCTTTAGCCTCATGCGAACATGTGCGGTCATTTGGAAAAGGAGAAAGGAAAATGATGTCTCCTGAGCTGCTCCTGTATTTGCTTTTCTTGTTGTAGGAAATTCTTCCCAGCTATGGCTTAAATCCCTCATTTGCCTATTCATCACTAATCAGTCATTGCTTTCGAGAGAAATCAAATGCCAAACTCTTATTTTTACTCTTAGGATCAAGGAGGGCTGAATGATGAGCTAGTCTAAATAACCACTGTGTTGTGCAATCAGCACTTAGAGTGAAAAATTAAACTGGCAAAATGAGAGTTGTTAGCTTCACGAAGGTCGATCTTTCATGGAATAATGAGGAGGATTAAATGACTTTGTGAACATAAAAAGCTTGAAAGAGTGGAGTGTCTTGCTGGAGTCATGAAAACCATATGTCCTAAAAATGAGAGATCATGAAGCTGTCAAAAGATTTGGAAGCAATTGAGAACACAGACAAATACTTTCTATGGTATTAAAAGAACAGCTGCAAAAAGCTCATCTTGAGCAGCAAAGTGGCATCAGCAGGAAACTCAAACCAGCATTTTGGGTACTTGTAACCAAAACCCAAACAGAGAAACATTTGCAGTGAATTGCCACTCAGCCCTAACAAGACTACAACATCAGAAAGGAGGTGGTGGACAGATGATCTTGCTGGAATATTGACCAGTGAAATGAAAATATCTCATTAGAATCTCTTCTATGGTGTGAAAAGAAGATATCTTCCAGAATAGTATTATCATCATGCAGGACAACACACCATCCCATGCTGCACAAAAAAGACTTCTTGGTTGCTATGGAAATAAAAAGAGAAAGAAATTCATGGTGTGGCATCATCCCCTGACCTAAACCCTGATGAAAACCTATCTATTTAAGAAGGATGAGGGAAGGTATAAGCATGCCTTGAAGCAGTAGTGGCAGAAACCATACATGGACCTAAAGTTGAAAGGATTAGAGAGCTCGTAAACTGATGACAAAAAAGGGCCTTTGTATGACTCTGTTCTGTTCATGACACAAACACAACACATATCTGTTTGGCGTCTGTTACGACCTGCTGAATGGTTTTAAACTTTATTCTGCATTGTAATTTGGTCCAATGTATTTTGTTCTTTTCAAAAATGTGTTAGATTGTAAACAGTTGAGCACAATCTGATAGCGTTATGTTCTTGTTCTGTCACTTTGTGCTGTGGGCTTGTTTCCATCCTCAGAGAGGAATTTGAAAGATTATCAAACAAGACTTGAATACTCCAAATTTGTTCATGTTAAAAAAAAAAAATTGTATTAGATTTTTTTTTTCATATGCTCTAACTTGATTTGTCCAGCCACCTATCCCACACAGTGATATACGTTTTTGAAAGTTTCCACATGTACTTCTGAGCGTTTTCTCCAGTGAATTATCAGAAAACAGGTAAATTATCCAGGGTAAAAACTATATATTTTTTCTTTTACTCAACATACCGTATTTTTCAGGCTATAAGGTGCACTTAAAAGCCTTTAATTTCCTCAAAAATCGACAGCGCCATATAATCCGGTGCGCCTTATGTATGAATTCTGGTTGTGCTTACTGACCTCAAACCGATTTTATGTGGTACACGGTGCTCAAAAATCTGTCAAAAAATGTTTCAGTATGACTTTGGTAAACTATGAAGCCACACCGCTTGATGGATTGTTGTAGCATTACGGCTGCCGGAGTCAGGAGTCGCAGAGTAATCTGGGTCCAAAACTCTGTCTGTTTCAGGTCACAAAGTCAAACAAACACTGCAGCATCACTGAGAGTTAAAAACTGTCTAAATTCTTTAATCCTTAATAAAATGAGTGTGAGGGTGTAACAATTAAGTTTAACATCCAGGCATCCATGAAAACAGAATTTATTAAATTCAATTTAGAAGTTAGCAGGAAGTTAGCTCGCTAGTTTCCACCTAAGCATGATATAGCATCTTCTGACTGAGAGATTTCTGAAAAAATTAAAACGTAC